TGGGGTGACCAGGGTTATCTTCAGGACATTCTCAAAGCTCGACCCTTGGAGGTTGGCTGAAGTGTTTGTGCTGTAGCCCAGCCTAATCATATGGACAGCAAAACCGCCATTTCGTGATGTGGGCCTACCCCGCGGGTATGCCCTCCTTCGAAGTTCCGGCATCCACTGCCCCCATCCAGGTGCACCTGCTGCGATAGGCACCGCACCAACATAACATACCGGGTCCTGATTTCGTTACCTCAGCGTTTCCCGGCGCTTACGTCGGGTTTTCTCCGTTTCGCACGCGCTCCTGCATCAAACCCCGCGGTGACGTCAGAAGTGCTCGTCAGGGTCCTGATTTCGTTACCTCAGCGTTTCCCGGCGCTTACGTCGGGTTTTCTCCGTTTCGCACGCGCTCCTGCATCAAACCCCGCGGTGACGTCAGAAGTGCTCGTCAGATTTATTGCGGTCACGACGCCGTGCAGAGATGAAAAGTGCAAAGCGCTGGCAACGGTGTCACTTTGGATACTTTTGGGGTCCCTCGCGCAACAATGTTGCATGTCAACGCCAGGGCTATGATGGTCATATGACAAAAATGGCTGCGGCAGCCGTGCGCCCAATTCTAAGCTTATTGTGAAAGCCCCTGATCAGTAGATACAGGGAATCAGCCAACAAGATGATCTATGTTAAGCCTGGCTAAACAAACACATCTGCACATGAACAACGGCTGCCAAGCTCGTGGCTGTGTGATGGTAAAGTTTGTGAAGACAAGAGCCCATTTGCCATGCGGTGCAAAGCCCACGAATCTCCAGAACACGCTCCAGTGAAAATGAGACCGTAAAACGAAATGAAAGCGTGATATGTTCGAATCAGTAACACTGCCAGCTGCTAAGAAGAAGTGCTCCATGAAATTGAACGCTGTTGTTTAAAATTAAGTGGTACTAACCACAATAAGAATTGCTAGTAATGGGCACTGCTTGCAAGTTTATCGTCGAGTGATGAATACATGAGTAATTTTGTGCGAACCATCTTAAATCTAAGCGATGACGCAAAGTCAAAGGCCCGCGAACTAGAAGGATGCATCAAAAAGCTCGTCGATGCTGAGTCAGCAGTTATTTTTAATCAAACATTATATATATATATATATATATATATATATATATATATATATATATATATATATATATATATATATATGTGTGTGTGTGTGTGTGCGAGAGTGAGTGTATGTATGCATTCTAAATTATATATAGTAATATTACAAAGTTACGTTTCCAGAAATAATACGCCACTAAAAGTATGGTATAATGCCAGTACGAAGTGTGGATTTCTGCGTGCAGTACTACATACTTAAGCTAGCATTTGCGTGAGGCGGGAGGCTTCGATGGGCCACTTCTAAAGCGCCAAGTTCAACGGTTATTTGGTTTCATCATGCTAGAGTGCAGTGTATCGGTTAAAGTGATTCGCATTCAGACGATGTTTTTGGGGGACCATCGCTTCGTTTTTTCGTGTAGTGTAATTATGTGTATAACAAAAAGCTGAAATTTCACATTCGTATTGTGAAGAGAATGACAGCCGAAAACTGGGAAAATAATTGGGCTATTGTAGGGTATTCCACGGGACGGAGAAGGGGGCCACTAGAAGTTTGAACAAAACGGAATGGAGCAAACCGAGTTGACGTTTTCCATGGGAATGAACTGACAACAAACCCCGTTCAATGGTAGGTGCATTCCAGCACGATGAGCCCACATGGGACGTACCGCTTTGAAAGTGGCTCAAAATTGGCCGAAGCCTCCCGTTCCGCTCAGAGTTCTCAAACGCTAAATGTTCACAATACTTGTCGGAGTCCAATATCGGGCGGGATGGGCGCCGTTCGTTCAGCCCGTCGGTCGTTTCAATAGGGAGATGGAGAGAGCGAGAGAGAGAGAGAGGGAGGGAGAGAGCGAGAGCGGGGCGACTAGGGGGGCCGGTCACCACCAGCGCTCCACCCGTGGCTGGCCGGGCCGGCCTTCAGTCCCCGATGCTCGCCCTCCCCCTCGCCGGGCGGAGGTCTACGGCCGCTCCAGCCGGTTCCCGAAGACGGCCAGCTCGGCGAAGTCGACGGTGTCGTCCCGGCGGATCAGGTGGACGTAGCGGCCGGTCAGCGGCGTGTCGCAGCGGAGGAGACGGGCGGACCCCTTGCCCACGAATGCCTTCTCGCGCAGCGCGCAGCGCGCCGAGTGGCCGTCACCAAGCGCCCACGGCCGGCTGCCGACGCGGATCTCCGTGTTGCGGTTGCGGTTGTGGTCCTCGCAGCGGTCACTCCTGGCCAGATACAGCACGCTGCTGACCTGGACCGGAGCGCCCAGGTCGACGGTCCAGGTGGTTACTGGCGGGGTGGCGTTTCCCATCCGGTTGTGGACCATTGTCGTTGCATTGCCGTCGTTGCCGTGCTGGGGCCGGTACCTGGGGTCATGATTGTTCATCCAGCTCGGCTGGTCGGCGGCCAGGTTCTCGCCAACGAACAAGCAGAGCGCTGCTGATATCCCTTTCCAGTTGTATGGTACGTCGTTGAAGTCGTCGGAAGAATGCTGTAGGACCGTGAAGTCTTCGTTGCCTCTGGCGTCGTCCGGCTGTCTGTCTGCCCACTTGAAGTCCCTCGCCACCGCGTCACCGTCGCTGGTGACGAAGCTGCCCTCAGTCACCAGGTCGTCGACACCAACAAGCAGTTGATCATCCTGCTTCATCACCTCAGCTTCGATCAGCTGCTTCACCGGCAACAGCGGCGGCGGCGCGAGGATGGCGCCGTCGGCGTAGCAGACCTCAGCTCCCTTCAGAGGTGTGACGATCGGCCTCCGCGCCAGCCGCGCGCCCCCTACCGGCCGGTACTCGGGCGGCGGGGCGCCGTCCGGCTGCGGGAAACGCCACACGAACGACGTCGCGCTGCGGCCCGGGCCGGCGTCGCTGGTGACGCCCTCCGCGTAGAACACACAGCGCTTCTCGTCGGCTGCGAAGTCGAAGGCGACGCAAGGGAGATGGTCGGCGCAGACGGCCATGCAGTGGTCGACAGACTCGCCGTCTGTTTCGGAAATGACGGCGGAGGTCAGCCGGCCGGCGCCCACCTTGGAGAAGTTGCCCGTCTTGCGGCAGCGACCGTCGCCGGCGGGCTCCAGCGGCGGCCGGCACTCGCAGACGCGGGCCGGGCAGCGAGCGCCGGCCACCAGCAGCGAGCAATCGCTCGCGGCAGCGCACGGCTCGCCCAGCTGACGGACGCCGGTGCGCGCGTGCCAGCGCCAGACGTCGTCGCTCGGTTGCAGTCGCTCCAGCGTCGGCAACAGACGGGTCAGTCGGCAGGCGGCAGCGGCGTCGCTGAAGCCGTACCCCCGGCACTCGGGGTCGGCCAGGCACAGGTGTCGGCAGAGGCACTCGCTCGCGCCGTCCGCGTCTGACCCGTTCGCCGGCGGCATCGTGCTGTTGCTCGGCGGCAACGCGTCGAACGAGAAGGCGCGGGGCCAGGTCAAGACCTTGTGGCGCGTGGTCAGGCCCGACGCGGCCAGCGCGACCTGCAAGAGCGGGACAGCGAGCGGCCAGAGGGGCGCCATCACGACACGCCCGTGCCTCTCGCAGTGAGGGCCCCCGGCGCGGTCGGCTGACGCCGGCCGCCGAGCGGCGTCGGCCGCTGCTTGGTGCGCGGGTAAACACGGCGGAGCGCGGTGCGAACCTAACATGTGCCGCTCTCCTGACCGTGGAGGGGGCGCTCGTGGAGCTTTTAATGCAGAGTGTTTGAAAGGCAAATGAGCTCGTGTCGGGGAGGGCAGCCCAGTTTTCACCGGGAATTCAGCTGGTTTTCAACGGTGTGCCCGAAATCAATGCGGTGACCATGCCGTTGGCAGTGTGGCGGCATGGCGGCAAGGGGTGCGCAGCAACGGCCGTCGGTGTGCCCGCAAACCGCTAAAAATATGTCTTTCCAAATTTTGACCCAAAACGCATGTTAAGTGCAGATGCGTTTTGCTCCAGCCTGCTGTTTCTTGGAGGTCGACCCAGCACTGAGATACTGGGGGCTCATGCAAAGCGCATTACGTTGTGGCACTGGGCAGAGTCTGTGTTTATGCATTGGGTGAAGTATGTGTCTTGACAGTTGGTGCCGGGTAGGGTATGTGTTTTAACATCGGCTGGATTGTGCGTTTTGACATTGGTTTAGTTAGGTTAGGTCAGATTTGAAGAGAGTTAATTCCATTGTATTACATTAAGTAGGATGGGAGAGAATAAGCTTAGGTTCGCTTCGGTGCTTGAGCTCGTCTCGGTTCTGTTCGATTTGGCTCGGCTCGGCTCGGCTCGGCTCGGCTCGGCTCGGCTCGGCTCGGCTCGGCTCGGCTCGGCTCGGCTCGGCTCGGCTCGGCTCGGCTCGGCTCGGCTCGGCTCGGCTCGGCTCGGCTCGGCTCGGCTCGGCCCGGCCCGGCTCGGCTCGGCTCGGCTCGGCTCAGCCTCGGCTCGGCTCGGCTCGGCTCGGCTCGGCTCGGCTCGGCTCTGTTCGGCTCGGCTCGGCTCGGCTCGGCTCGGCTCGGCTCGGCTCGGCTCGGCTCGGCTCGGCTCGGCTCGGCTCGGCTCGGCTCGGCTCGGCTCGGCTCGGCTCGGCTCGGCTCGGCTCGGCCCGGCCCGGCTCGGCTCGGCTCGGCTCGGCTCAGCCTCGGCTCGGCTCGGCTCGGCTCGGCTCGGCTCGGCTCGGCTCTGTTCGGCTCGGCTCGGCTCGGCTCGGCTCGGCTCGGCTCGGCTCGGCTCGGCTCGGCTCGGCTCGGCTCGGCTCGGCTCGGCTCGGCTCGGCTCGGCTCGGCTCGGCTCGGCTCGGCTCGGCTCGGCTCGGCTCGGCTCGGCTCGGCTCGGCTCGGCTCGGCTCGGCTTATGGCTCGGCTCATGGCTCGCGATGATCTAGCCCAGCGGATATGGGGTTGCTCGGCATTTGTCATTTCGTGGTCACGTAACTGGTTGCGTAACAGTAATCTGTTCAGTGACTGCATCCATATTCTGGGTCGTTCAGATGCCAGTGGCTTTCACAGGTATATTTATAATCATTGTCATGGTTGCCGACTTTGACATCGTTTCGCTCGTCACAACTCGATGCGCCCACTTCCACGCCTTGAGAGGGCTACGAGAACTATCGCTCTGGTGGTCCATGACGTTCTAGCTCGTCCAACAGCTGTTGTCACTAGTCTTTGGCACTTCCAAGCCCGTATGCTTGTTGGCTGGCGCCGATTGGGGGTGATTGTCCAATCCCATCGCTGCCTCCGGTCCCAGATCCTCCGCTGCTTGAGTTGGGATTGGGATGACCGGGGATGAACTGTCCACCAGTGCTGGGATTGGGATGACCCGGGATGAACTGTCCACCAGTGCTTGGATTGGGATGACCCGGGATGAACTGTCCACCAGTGCTGGGATTGGGATGACCCGGGATGAACTGTCCACCAGTGCTGGGATTGGGATGACCCGGGATGAACTGTCCACCAGTGCTGGGATTGGGATGACCCGGGATGAACTGTCCATCAGTGTTGGGATTGGGATGACCGGGGATGAACTGTCCATCAGTGTTGGGATTGGGACGACCAGGGATGAACTGTCCGTCAGTGTTGGGATTGGGACGACCAGGGATGAACTGTCCATCAGTGTTGGGATTGGGACGACCAGGGATGAACTGTCCGTCAGTGTTGGGATTGGGACGACCAGGGATGAACTGTCCATCAGTGTTGGGATTGGGACGACCAGGGATGAACTGTCCATCACTATTGGGATTGGGACGACCAGGGATGAACTGTCCATCACTATTGGGATTGGGATGACCGGGGATGAACCCGCCAGCCGGGCGTGGGTAGTCGGGTATGACTGCCGATCCTTGGCCAGAGGTGCTCCTTACTGGCGGTGTGTCCTCCACAACGGCCTGCGAGTACCGCCGGTACCTGTCGGCACAGGTCACTCCGATAAGTCACGTTTCCTGCGCCCTAACGCGGCTGTGTGCCACTGTGACGTCACGCACGGTGACGTCACGAAAACGCTCACCAGACAGTTGTCAGACAAACGACTTAAGCGCGGCGCTCGACACGGATGGCCGCCGAGATGTGGCTCGAGGCACTGATATGGACGGGTCGGTTGAAATCCGCCCATGTCGGGACTCGAACCCGGGACCATGGCCTCGCGAGCTGTGCGGCTGGCTGACCTGCGGCGCCAGCCTCTGTCGGGGATGACGGGGCCCGGGTAGAAGCCGCCTCCCGTGACGCCGCCCCAGCCGCTGCCGGCACCGCCGCTGCCGCCACCGCCGGGATAGTAGCCGCCGCCACCGCTGCCGCCGCCGCCGCCGCTGGGGTAGTAGCCCGCCCGGCCGCCTCCGAGCAGACCAGAACCCGGAGAGCCCCAGTAGGTGCCGTCTCGGGTCAGGCCGGCCACAGCCGTCACACACAGCGTCAGCACCTGCGGAGCGTCACACACAGCGTCAGCACCTGACGGCCAGCACAGCCGCGACAATCTGCTGGTAAACGCAGCGGCCAGCGCCGCCTGGTGGCGCACCCGGCGGTCACGCTCAGCTACAACGCCTTCAACACCATTGACAGCCATCTACACCATCGAGTCGCCGCCGGAGCGGCGTTCCGACCCGCCGGAACGCACGCAGCCACCACGGGTAACGTCCGGCCGGCGTGCGCAGGCTTCGCAGGCACGCCACGTTGTCACGGACGTCATGCCGTCCTGCGGGCCGCGGCAGCGCCGCCGACTCACCGTCAGCCGGGTCATGGCGCAGCGACTGGTCACCAGGAGCAGGAGTCTGAGGCCGAACTGCGCTCCGCGCCGCTTTTAACCGAGCCGGCTCGTTTGCACTGCTCGCGCGCTGTGTTTGTCTATGCTAATGCGGCCGTGGCGAGGCCGCTGGTCGCCGGACGCCGCCGGCCGTCTCGGGGAAGCAGCCCCGGAAGCGCCGTGCGTCACGGCTCGCCCCGCGTCGCTGGCTGGCGTCTGGGCGTCAGCGATGGTTGTGGACCGCTCCGCCGCGCCCGCCGGATGGCTCCGCGGCGCCCGCGCGGCCGGAGCCATCCAGAGGGGCGCGGTCGAGTCGGAGGGGTCCCGACGGTGCAGGCCGACGCGTCGGCCCTCTGCCGTGCTGGCGCGTGGCTTGCAACACCGCTGCCGCCGTGCTTTCATTTGTCAGGTGCACACTGGTGACGTGGATCGCTTTCTCGGACGCCTGCGCGGTCTTGGCCTTCTCTTTTAAGGTTCTTTCTAAGGGGCTTTTCTCGTCGCGTTAGCTGTGCGCTGTGCGCTCGTTTCTGTCCCAGAGCCTTTGTTCCAGCCTTCCCTGGCGCTAGACACGCGGTGGTTTTCCATTGCGATGGCGCCCACCGCCCTGCACTTCTGGTATAGGGTGTCGACGGATGGGAATACGACCAAGGTCCTGCGCTTCGCGCTCAGATGAGTCTCGGACCTCTCTTGCCCCCTCCCCCTCGTGATGTGGCCCACTTAACCCGTGTTCGGATGAACCTTGGATCTTGGCTGTATCCTGGATGATTTGAGTAGTGTGATCTTTGCTACATGGTCTGACGGGTGTTTTCCGATCTTCATATCAGGTGGAGGAGAAGTGTGATATTCTGCGTCACATCACCTGGTGGGCTTTACTTTATAACCCCACTTGATGACTCTTACCAATTGCGGGAGGTGATATCTTTTGAGGGGAGATGAGATCTTTTGAGGGGAGCTGAGATCTTTTATTGTGAGGTGAAATGTTTCCCAGTGTCATTGTCTGACGGACTTAAACCCCGAATGCTGTTTCATTTGACTGTTTCAGAAATTTGGCGAAATGCTGCACCCAGCGTTGGTGCGTTCGGTGTATTTACCACCTGGCGTGGCGTTTCCCGTCGCCGAACTCACTGTTTGCTGTTGGATCTCCCCCCACCCGTCATGATTTTAGGCGATTTTAACGCGCATCACGCCGTTGAGAGATGCAACCGCAGAAACACACGTGGACGTTTGTGTGTGCACTTTATCCACGAAGAATCACGGCGCCTTTTATATGCTGAGACTCGTACATGCGTTACGCCGCCCTCTGGACGTATGTCCACTCTCAACTTAAGTCTTTTGAGTACACAGCTTATGCTGTGTTGTACTTGGCATGTCGTCGACGATCCCACGGACAGCAATCATTTTCCGTGTTTTTCGTCGTCTTTGTGTAAATTGATGGAAAGATGGCAGACGGTAGATTGTGGTGGTACTTGGAAAAGAAACACATTGAACGATGTCCAATGCGGTTTTAGATCGAATCGCTGCACGGTGGGCCACCTTTTAACACCCGACGCCGCTGCGCTGCTTCTAAATAGTGTCGCCATCTAGGTGCCATCGTATTCGACTCCGAGAATACCTACGAGTCAACCTGGCGTCATGAATTTCCAGTCAGGCTCTTTCAACACAACATTCATGGCCTTGTGGCTGCATTTTTACGTAACGTTCTGTCGAAACATCGTTTTCGCGTAAGAGCATGTCATCACATTTTAGATTCATGTGTACAGGTGGAGAGCATACCACAAGGAAGTGTTTAAGCGCGCCATTATTTGCTTTCATGATCAATGGCAGTTACACGACGTCCGCAATTTATTGGCCCATCTCTCTTTGTCGACGATTCTGCCGTCTGGTGATACGCATCGAGGGCGACGACTATGGAGCGACAGCTGCAGATGGCCGTCACGCGTCTGTAGGACTGAGGCACACTCAGCGGACATCCGTTCACTTTAGTCGACGTCAACACTGTCACAGCGGGCAAATTCGGCAGTACAGGCAGATGATGCCGTCCGAGCTGAGTGCGCGTTTTCTTGGAATTGAACTTGATGGTCATTGGACATGCCACCAGCGTGTTAAAATTCAGGGAAAGGCGTTTAAGATCTCTAAATGTTCTTAAATGTGTCGCCGGAGTGTTTTACGGGGTTGACAGGAAAACGTTTTTATTCTTATACTGCTCTTTCACAAGCTCCGAGCTGAACTACGGCTGTTTTGTAGATGACGGTGCCCAAGATTCTGTTAAAAATACCTTGAATAAGGTACATCACGCTGCGCTGAGAGCCATCCTTGGTGCTTTTCGGACGTCCCCTGCAGCTTGTTTGCTCACTGAAGCGGAGCTACGGTGCACAAGGAAACTGGCGCGGCTCCCGAATCACCCAACACATAGTGCTCTGTTTTCACGCGAAACATGAAATGTTTTCCACGGCGAGCGAACGCGAAGCGCCGCCCCTTTCCACGACGAGCGAACGCGAAGCGCCGCCCCTTTCCACGACGAGCGAAAGCGAAGCGCCGCCCCTTTCCACGACGAGCGAACGCGAAGCGCGGCGCCTTTTTGCCAGCGTGCTCACAATGTCCTTCGTGAGGGTGGATGGATTCTTCCGGGAGTGATGCGTCCATCCAGCCTGCGGGCCCCTCCGTGGGCGCTAGTGTCCCCAGCCGTCGACGTGTCGCTGGCACATGCTCGATAGCAATATATGATTCCGTGTGTTGCGAGAGCAGCACCCTCGCAACATATGGGAACGCGTCGGGGATGGAAGACTACAAGTGCGAGCGGTTCTAAAGCGGGTACGGGCGTTGGTTGTGCCTTTGTTTGCAGCCAAGGCATACCGTCACTCACGCTGCCGGCGTATTCTTCTAAATACGCGGCAGAGCTCGTTGCCATCTACCGATGGCATTCTCCTGTATCCAGGCGGACGAAGATACCTTGCACGTGATTTTATCAGACTCACTAAGTATGTTTTTGTGTTTGGACGCTTTAATCGCACAAATCCCCTTATACTGGATATTTTATTACGTCTTGGCTCTTTGTACCAGGCCGGAGATACCATAGCACTGTGCTGGATTCCAAGCCACGTGGGAATCGCTGGAAATGGGCTTGTCCACCCCGCCGCAAAGCTTGTTTGTTACGCCCCATCCTTACTCAAAGACTTATCGAATACCCGCCGCAGACTTAAACCCAGCTATATCGCCCCTTTTACGGGGCCGATGGCAGAGCACGGGGGATGCAGTGCACATCAACAAACTCAAAAGTATAAGCCGTTTATCCAGCAATAGCAGTCATTTTATCGGAAGACAAAGCAGCAGGAAGTCATGCTAAGTCGCTTGCGGGTCGGCCGTACTTACACGAACCATGAATGCCTTTTCTTGCACGATGAACCACCGCGGTGCCGCCAATATCACGCAACGTTTGCTGTGCGTCGTGAGCTCGTCTCTTTTCCGACATTACTCGCAGAACGTCTGCGGTACTTCGGCTCGACTGCACCGTCTTTCACGCTCTCCGATTGGTTCGGCAATGGCCCACTACATGTCGAACACCTCTTCAAATTCCTCTCGCGTGCTAACTTCTGTTCTATGTGTACACCGATTCCAATCGTTGGCGCAACATAACAGCCCTTTGGAGTTTTTGAACAACTTTGATCAGAACATACATTGTTGGAGCTATGTCACCGCGCAATCGAAGCTCCCGAAAGCCCCAATTACGCAGCCTGTCATTAAAATGACATCAGCATTTTCTACTTCAGCATGATGCCATCCCGCAGCTGGGCAATATTAATGCTTAGTTTCACAAGCGACCGTTCCGCCTGGTGCGGTCTACAATGACGGATGTTGTGATTCGGCACCACGGCAGTATTCGGTACCAGGCCTAGTCCTCGCGTGAGTCCTTGACGTGATCCTGGTTTGCGGCGGTGGGCGATTAGTGTCGTCTCCTGTGATAGGACGGAAAACACGCGCGTCCGCAGTCAAGCGTAGTGAAGAGCTGCTGTTCTCGCCCGTCTCCTCCGGGGATAAACGATGTACCAAGGATGATGCGGGACGGAATGTGCAAAGACATGCTGTCCCCGGCCGTATTTTGCAACCAGCGTTTCGCCAAGTCCGTTAGTGCGGATGTGATTCGGTTGTCAGTTCGGACACGCTTACGGGTCGACTCGGAACACACCCACGTGTGTCGTGACCGAGGCAGGGGGTGTCGAGGAAACGGGGATTTTTATGCAGTTGTGTGATTGTAATTGCGATTAAGGACTGTAAGGTGTCTTAGCCTTTAGCTCGCATCACTGGTGGTGGAAAAACTTTTTTGCGACAGGAGGCACTATCTCGAACAACTTTGTACAAATGGGAAAGAAACAAAATTTGCCTTCTTTCGGTAAGTTAGGAGGGGAGGGCGAGGGGCAACATGCCCGCTTTCCCACGTTTATCTGCTTGCTGTCGTACTGCCCAGTACATTGAGCATCATAAGTAGAATGCAACACATATTGATCATGTAATACTCGCATGCTCTGTAAGCCATTATCGTTCCATAATTGCAGTACGATAGTCTTACATGGGGAAATAAGAATGCCTTTCCATGGCATCTCATTCTAGTTCCCAGAAAAGCGCTGCGTGACTCAATGATCACATATATGCACGAACTACCTCGGAATCGATATAACCAATGTCGAAGTAGTGCAACACCGTTAGTATCCGACCTACAGGTATGCTGCAATTGACAATCGCTCACTGCACTCCCCCTACTGGGCAACCTTCCCAACATTTCACCACGATATCGCATACCTACGAGGCGTGGTGGTTAAACACCACAGAATAGGCAAACTGTGAACGTTGTTCGAGCGGCATCAAAATATATTCACAACCACACTAAGTGATCTGATTATATGGATCACAGTCTTTGCCCCGTGTTACGCCGACCATGGTCAAGTTCTTACGTTCGAGCGGGATATTAAACAACCGTTCCGCATTAATTTCCTGGGCCGTCTGCAAGAAACCTAGTGCGTACCC